TCTTATATTTTTACAAATTTTGATTATAAATATTATATTATATTTCAATTTTACATTTTTTATTTTATTTTAATTAAATATGAGATAAGAATTTATATAAAATTAATTTAAAATACTATATTTAATAAAATTTTACCTATATCCTAAGAGCACATATTAAAAAAGTTTATCTATTAAATATACAATTAAAATCATTAACATGATATTGACTTAGAAAATAATTAATTGTTAAAAATTACATAAATACTCACTTTATTTTAGTTTATTTTATTTTATTTTTTTGGTATAAAAGTGACAATGGTAGTGTTGGTAGCCCAATGGTGAAAACTTCAAAACGTGGGTTGAAGAAGTGGGGTTTGAATCCTCTTGTGCACATAAATTTGTTATAAGTTTTCAAAATTTGTTAACTGGATGGTTCATCGGCTCAAAAGCCAAAGAGTTTGATCGGGTCTTTTGAGTTTTGATCGGATTTGACTAACTTTGACCGGATCTCATTACAAATCAATTTATGTGATAACTCGAACCAATTTTGTAATCGGTTCAGTCCGAGTTTTAAAACAGTAAAATTTTATATAAATGTGATGTGTAATATTTATCTATAAAGGAATCCTTATTCTTAAAATTAATCTCAAATTAATAATATTTTAAAATAAGAATCTACTTACAAATAAATCTTAAACACAATACTTACACAAAATCTCAACTATTCATCTCTTCATTTTCAATAGTTGATATTTATTCATATTTATTAAAGATAATTATTGTTTTTATCTTAAAAATCATCATAAATCCCAACTATTGAAAGTGAAAAAATAAATGATTAAGATTTTATATAAATATAATATATTAAACTTGCATATCAATAAATTTCTCCTCATTATTTTTTCTTACTTTAAGAAAAATGAATACTATTATTTTTTTACTACTTTAACAATTTGTTATTTTATCACTTTAATTATTTATTCTATTAAAATATAAGTTTATATTTACCTTTATCTCTTTTTTAAAGATAATATAGATAAAAAATGAAGTACGGGTACTTGGAGGCAACAATTGTGCAAAAATATTAATTAACTCGTATATTTGTTTTGGCTTCTCTTTGGGCACATAGAGGCAACACTTGTGCCTCGTATGTATATATATACACGTGTGGGTGGTAGGTGTATTTATTTAGTCATACAACAAAATCAAACAACTTAAATACCCTTATTTTCCCTACTTCCTTAATTAAAGTTGACTGGATATTTAAGCTGCTTGTTTGGAGAAAACAGCCCCCAGTGTTTTTTATACTCCGGTTCCTTGTTATTCTCATCAAACATGGCAAAAATGTATGTCTCGATGGGCTTTCCAGG